AGTAGTTGGTCTTGGTGGGGGCTCTGGAGCCTTGCAAGACACAGCTCCCAGCCTGTTTCCTGGGTGGGTGACCTGGGGAGAAAGCGGGGATCCACCTCTTAACTCACTCTCCTCTCGACCACCACCTCTTGGCCTGACTGTTGACTGAATGGGCCCACTAATGGCGGCTCACTGACAGTTGCTTACAGGAGAGACCCACTGCAGCGCCGACCAGTGGCTGGAGCAGGACCACCAATGGTCCCCAGCAGTAACCATTGCCTGGTAAGGCGGCGCAGGGTAAGATTGGCACAGCAATGCCCTTGTGCTAAGGGCTGCACTTGGCCAGGCTAGATTACAGTAGGAACTTCCACCCCTTATATCATTACTACATTGGGAATGCAGTGGTACTGCAGTCTATGCTTCTCAACCTTTAATGTACATATAGGTCACCTGAGAATCTTACTAAAATGCAGATCCTTTCAGGAGATCTGGGGTATAGTATTTTGCTTTTAGTACTAAGCCACATTTGACTTTGTGACCCCATGGACTGCAGCCTGCCAGGCTCTTCTGTTCGAGGGGTCCCAGGCAGGCATATTAGAGTGGGTTACCTATTTCCTTCTACACTGTAGTTTTAAAATTATTTATTTTTGGCTATATCCGGTCTTGTGGTATGCCATTGCTCCAGGAGGGCCTCTCTCTAGTTGTGGCCTGTGGGCTTTAGTTGCCGGGTGGTCATGTGGCATCTTAGTTCCCCGACCAGGGATAGAACCTGTCCCCTGCATTGGAAGGTGGATTCTTAACCACTGAAGCACCAAGGAAGTCATGAGTCTATTTCTCAAAAACTGCAAGTGACACTAACACTTTTGATCTACAGGCTAAACTTTCAGGAGCAATTGAACTTGACATCTGGCATCTGAAGTTCTTCCCGGGTGATCATTTTGGAGCCAAGTGATTTTCCTCCCCTATGTGTAAATTCTATATTCTGCTTTGGTGATCAACCTACACAGAGCATCCAGTTGCACATTACACTTTATACACATGACATACTACAGACGGCAGTTAACTACGAGGTTTAATTTTGGGGGGTTTCAATTTTTTGTACATGATTTTCCTCATTTATGACTACCTGTTTCTGAAGTAGTGGTATTACTATTTCTATATTTTGATGCCCATATGCCATGGACAAACTTTTCATGCCTACAAACTACCACATTGCTGTCTTCCTTATGGACACAGGAAAAGATGTTTCTCTTCCTGTCCAAGAAAATCCCTCCATCGATGCCCTGACTTCCAACTCACTGAAAACACATTGTTACTTGTTTTCTTTTGCTTATCAGCCTGCTCTATTTTATCTAGTCCCAAACTTTCTCTACAGTAATATTGGTAAAAAATTGTTTCATGAAATTACATTATTTAAGAACAGAAAGTGAATGCAACACAATTTTAATTGCTGAATTTAGCTGAAGGATGTATGGATTTCATTGTACTATTCTTTCAACTCTTCTCAGTATTTGTAAATTTTTAAGTTTGGGGGGGGTAAATACAGGAACAATTAACAATTTATCCTTTGTTTCTTCCTAGCACAAAGATACTCCCAGATAACATAAATTCCTTCCAGAGCCTCTCATTCATTAAATATTTCCTCCCACAAATTTTTTTTCCAAAAATTTTAAACATCATTTTGTCTAACCTGACATATAAGCACGTCCTTTTATAATCTTTCTGCATTATAAACTATTAACAAATTTTAAAAACTTCAGCTTTTCTAGCATGAACACTAGAAATGTCGTTTACTCTCTAGTAACTCTTACCTACATTGTAAATCTGTATTCTCTATGTATTCTGCAGTCACCTTACACTCCACAGCTTCCTATCCACTTTTTTACCCTCCTCTGCCAGTCACATGTAAGCAGGGCCCTGAACACTACATTCGAGGCAGGGCACCAAGCTGGCGTTCCTGCCTGTGTGCGCGCCTGGTTCCAGCCCGGCCACAGCCAGGTTAGTCACTCAACCGTGTCCAACTCTAAGCGACCCCATGGACTGCAGCCCCCCAGGCTTCTCTAGCCACAGGATTCTCCAGGCAAGAGTACTAGAGTGGGCTGTCATGCCCCCATCCAGATCCTCCCGACACAGGGACTGAACTGTCTCCTGCATTACAAGTGGGCTCTTTACCACCTCAGCCACATGTTCTGAGGACCAGTCAACATCCTATGTTTTCAGCTTGCTTACCCCAGGACTGATGCAGGTTTACCCAAGGTGGGTGTTTTTAATATTTATTAAATAGTAAACCTAGTTTCTACCGAGGTAATTGCTACCTAAAATGAAATGCTTTTTTACATTACCCTTTCATCTATGTGAGTCCTGCTTAAACAAGTATCAAAATAGTTCTCAAGCTAGGGAGATTTTGCACTCCAGGATACATGTGACAGTATCTGGAGGCATTTTTGGTTATTACAACTGGGGTGGGGTGGTGCTGCCATCTACTGGATAGTCAGGGATACTATACATCCTACAATGCCCACAAAGTGACCCACACAATAGATGAGTCTGGCCCAAAATGTCAATAATGCCAAGGTTGAAAACCCAGCTGTAATTTCTGCTTTATCTAAGCTTGTAAGATTTAGGAAGCACTGAACACCAGAGGCCCAAACAACTGAACCTATATGGCTCCAACTGTTTTTTTCAGTTCTTTATTAAAAACCAGTATTCTTTGGTTTTTCAACATTAAGTTCCCTTAACTGGAAAAAAGCCCCAGAGTTCAATACCATTAAAATGGCACAACCACAACAGTGTAGTGCAGTAATAATACAAAGTAGACTAAGATTAAAAACTGGTCTAAGACTTTGGATATAATAAGTTTTATTCATCTGGTGGTACTTGATGCTCACAGGGCACCATACAACAAACTTTAAAAATACAATAAGAAAAAAATTGAACAGCCAGAGAGATCAATTCCATTAGAGGGCCCACAGGAAAATCAACAAAAGCCCACAGAAAAACCCACCCACTGTCCCCTCAGAACATTAATTTCTTCCTTTTTAAGTTTGGCTTTAAGAAACACCAAAGGAAAGTGCGAAAGAAAAAAGTCTTTGTTAAAACTTCACATAGCGTCTTTCACATATGTATCTCACAAAATGCTTTCCTTATTCCAGAAGCATATAAAATAATTCAAACATTTGTGAGCCTCATTTGGTCCCTTTTACGATCACAGGCCTCAGTATTGGCCTCACCTCTCTGTCCTCAAGTTTTTGTATCAGTAAAAAACCAATTCCAATCATCTTTGCTCCACACTGCCACTACAAAGCATAGATGTTTTACATAAACAGCAAGGGCCAAAGCAAAGTGAACTTATGCAAGAACTTGAATATGTAACTAAATCTTCCAAAGACTGGTTTAAAAGCAAATTTTGGCTTTGAAATTTCATTGTATTCTTTAATTTTCACAATTAGTAATTACTGAAGGTCATTTGACATCGAGCATAAAGGAGAACAGCAAGATTTAAAGTTGCACGAGGGATACCGTTACAGTAACTTCTAAAAATAGATGAATTTGGAAATTTTGTAACGTTGACATGTTGTCATGAAGTTATGTCACATAAGTAACTAGTTACTAATTCTGCCTGATCAGCTAATGCTCAATATCAATTTTGTACATCAGCCAATTATGTTATTTCTCAAGGTTTAAGCCTCCAAAACAGGGAGCCCTAAGTATTAACAGTTCAATAAATTAACCTAATCTCAGGATATTGGTTTTCCTTACTGTGGCAGAGCCATCTTATGTTTAGGATGCTGCAGCAGCTCATTTCTCATCAGAGTTCATGTTAAGTACTATTACATAAGGAGATAAACTAAAATAGCTATGGGAAGATTAACTAAAACTAAAAAAGTTTATACTTTATTATAAAAAAAAGTACTCTATTAATGCTTGGTTCTTCTAGATTTGAATGGCATTTCAGTTTATGCTCAACACCTATTGATCAATTATCTGATAATTGATATTATCTGATACTTAAGCAAAACTAAGCAAACCTAGACATTTCAGCTGCTGCCATTGTGTAGTATTAGTACATAAGTAATCTGTAACTAGATGTTTCCCCTTTTCCATTATACTGTATTTCTTAAAGGCCAAGAGGCAGGTCAGAAGTACCTCTGCATCCCTGCAACTAACCACAATGGCTGACATACAGTAGGTGCTTAACAGGTAGTGGCTTATGACATGACATGGGCAAAGATCTCAAAGATTGTCTTATTCTAACTAGCATGACTTAGAGGTAGCCTCACTCCCTACAGAGAGACGTTTAAGCTACTTTTCCCACATTCTAAACAGAACAAGAGTAGGATATGACTTGAATTACTTAAGCAAATTCATAAGCATTTTGAGAAATCAAGAGATGAAAGGCGCTATGCAAGTGCAAAATAATATTAAAGACAGTTCAGCAAAGGTGCTATATTTTCTAAGGTGATGGAAGGGTTGTGCTAGTTTGAGGTTAACACCCCCAAAGCTACTCTTCCTAATGTCTTTATCAACAGAGCAATGGAATTTTGACAAAGATACCATCACTTTATATAGCTTGTATTCTACTAACTACTTTCTATAAACCAGGTGACAGAAAACGATATTAAGTCACTTATTCTACAGAAACCAGTACTTTATCAAAGTTCCGCATTTTACAAGTCATGTTCAAAAAACACACACGAGTTAGCATTTTGTACACAAATGTTTATTTCTCAATTAAACATTCCCTTTAAACACAAGGAATGAATTCTAAATCTTCATAAACATGAATTAAAAATGAAAGCCCTCCAGTATAGTGTGTGTAATCACCGTTCTTGGTCACTACCGGCGTTTACTGCTTAACATCAAAAACAAAGGTTATTTAAAAATCATGCTACTGGACTTCTAGCTCTTCCTCTATGACCAGTTCTACGCTGATCTGCAATGTTTAAAAGTTTACATCACCAAATCAAAGCAAGTTTAATGTGTGAAACAGCTGTGCATTAAACACAAAATAAACAATAAAGTTACAAGATATAGTCAAGTTCGTAACGAATATAGGTGTTCTTATCATCGTTGTAGATTCTTGGGTAATGTGCTATGAGAGCATCCTGTGAACCGATGTAAATGGAGTTGTAAATTTTCCAATACACATCTCTGACTTTCCGGGCTGGGTGAAACAAACCCTAGAATAATTAAAAGGTTACATTATTTCAAGAACTACATAACCTTAACACAACAAACAAACCATAAAGATGGTTCTAAACATCTCCCTTTGAGAGAGAAACTGCAGTGGGCAAGGACAAAAATCTAATCTTCTCTCCCCTCATAACTGTTTTCCCATATGGTACAAATATATCCTCCCTAAATGATAATTAGGAACAGTGAGTTAATTCAACTAAATTACTTTTTTCAATGAGTACTGTTTAAAAAACCTTTAACCTACCTGTAAACAATACTGTAGCATTCTACATGGTCCAATAGCAACTCTCAGACCCTCCAGGGCCCCCATAACTGCCTGAATTACATGGGGAGATGTCTCAAACACATTGGGCCATACATAGTTCAACAAGTGATTCAGCGAATCTTCGCAACCAAATCCATAAACCCCAAGTGACATGTGTTGCACTACTGCACTAGCAGTCTGTCTGTGTACAAGGTCCCTGTAATGGAGAGGGAAAAAAGCTTTTTATTAAGATGCAGTGTTAATTTCACAGAAAATACTTGCCTGCCTGTTAAAAAACTAAATCACAAATTCAATGCTTGGAATGGATGCAGAGTCTTCCTTATACCTCATGTATCTGACATAGGATACCTCTAGAGTGACTAATGATTCTACTTGAGAACTTCTGCTTTAATGATTCAAATCTGCTCACTATGGCTCAAAAATAAGCTGTATTTTTCTTTCAGAGTAATATGAGCAAGAAGGCCCAGCACAGTGTATATTTTTGCAAGCTACTAAAAGTAAGAGGGGATGTATGACTCTTAACATACGAATGATTAACAGTAATATCTCATTTTAAACTATAAATTTAAAATCTTTTAAAGTAATTCAATACTGTATACAGTAGATAATTAAATTGAGATTAAATCCCTTCCCTTGAGGTTTTTAAAAAAGATTCATTCAAGAATTCAATTTGGGGAAAAGGAAGAGAAGGACTAATAATTTTTTCAAACCCAGAAAAAAGAACTTTTATCACCTCCCATGTTTTGACTGACTTTATGACAAATCATTGACTTATTTATTCCACAATTTATTCAACTGAGTACAAGTATCAGATAAAGGTCTATGATAGGTATAAAAACAAGTTCATACGGTTTACCCTCAAAGGCAGAAAGAGAACCTTAAAAGTATTTAAGAGAAAAAAACAACTTTTTCTCTTAAACCTTAAGAGAAAAAAAAAAAAACACCTGAACCTACTTAGTTACTAGCATCTTTATTTCTTATTTATTATAATAATATATTAGGCACAGATTATAATGAAGCTGTATTCCTCCTTGGTAAATTTCCCAACTAATGTTTCTTGGTATCAGGACTCGATCAATCACCTCAAGCAATACTTTATCAGGGGTCACCATCTGAATAACTGTAGGCCTGCAGTGACAATAGTGTGGCTCTGGGAGGCTATGTTCAGTAGTTAAAAGTGTCTCTGCTTCACCTGCCATAACAAAAAGCTATAAAGATCAGGTCTCTTCATTGTATCAATAAGCTCATGCTCATCATCATCTTTAATTTTTTATCATCTTCTTTTTAAAACAAAAGTTGATTGGAAATTTCCTGATGGTCCAGTTGTTAGGACTCAGTGCTTCCACTATTGGTGCCAGGATTCAATCCCTGGTCAGCTAACTAAGATCTCACAAGCCTCATAGAATGGCAAAAAAAAAAAAGGGGGGTGGGGGTTAAACAAAGATGGGGCACACTTGGGGAAAAACTGGGGGAACCATTACAGCATGTATCTTTTCCCTTTGGCTGTGCAGGGTCTTTGTTGCTGTCCAAGGGCTTTCTCTAGGGCAGAGAGCAGGGGTGACTTTCTTAATTGTGGTGACTTCTCTTGCTGCAGGGCACGGGCTTAGTTGCCTCCTGGCACTGGGATCTTCCCAGACCAGGGACTGAACCGATGTCCCCTGTATTGGCAGGTGGATTCTTAACCACAGGGCCACCAGGAAAAGTCCTATATCATATACCTTATTTGGAGATGATAGTCACATTTATAGTTTCATAAAAATCCAGGCTAGTAGTCCCTTCTTTAACTACACCACAACAAGCAGGTCCTGTAATGATTACTTCAGTAAGTTCTAAAATAAAAGAATTATTTTAACTATTTTCTTGTGCTTAGTTCAAGTCACTTACCTATCCATTAAAGCATCCTCAAGTAGTGGTGTTACAGCATAAATGTAGTCCTTTCCCATTTCACCAATATATTCAAACAAGAAGGAAAGTGATTTTAACACTCCATTTTGAACATTCAGTTCAGGAACTCTGTATTCATTCATTAAGGCAGGTAGTACTGTGAAGGGTGAACATGTTTCAGCAACAATAGCTATGGCCACAGTTGTACAAACTCTGTTCTGCCTTTCCTGAACTTTTAGGTTGTTGAGAAGTGTAGCCAATACATCATGAGGGCTGGAAAAAAATAAATGTGTCAGCAAACTGTTAGTATACAAGTCAAAATTTTTTCACAGGGAGAAAAATAATCAAAGGATGGGAACTCAGTAATTTTATGCTATAGCATTACTGTTTCTACTTAAGATCTTCATTTTAATTAAAATGTTTACTTTAATGAAAATATTCAAATAGATTCATTTTCAAATATAATTTAGTTTTTAATAAATTTCCTGAAATACAAAGAAATTTCATTACATGTTTAGTCTGAGTAATTCTTTGAGTAGTCAGAACGTGGTCTCCCATTCCATAACATACAAAAATCTGTTTTCCTTTTATCTTCCCACCCACACACCTTTACCACATTTATTCTCCTCCTTTAAGGATTTATCTTACCACAAATTTAAAGGGACATAGGAACTAAAAGGCACAGCTATTCACTGCAAATTGCTTGACTTTCATCACAAATGAAAACATACTATAGCTCTACCAAAAAAGGGGTGGAGGAGACTCTAATTATATAATCAACTTTTGTTATGTTTCTGAGTATCTTGTTATTATGCCATATGTACATGAAATATCTAATTTTCTACAATGACTGTTCTAGTTTGGTTCTGGTGGAGTGAAAGCAAATAACCACAGATTATCTAACAAAATAGCTATAATTTTTAGTTGTCAGTGGATTAATTCTAGAAAAATATTTTCAAAACACATGAAGTATTAACATGAGAAGTCAACTATGTTAACTGTTTTAGCAATATCCAAAAAGAACTGGCCTTAATATTTTAAACAGTAACCAAAAAGAATCAACAGTCTGAAATCCCTCTGAAATGTTTCCCTCTCTGAAAACACTGAAGTGTCATTAAATGAAATTTTATACCCTTGCTTTAAATCAACTGAAGATGAATGAAAACATTTCAAGAACTGAAAGTCAGTAGTTAAAGTCTATTTTAAACTGCATTACTCATACCTTACCTTAAAAGAGCTTACAGAAACATCTTTTAACACTAAATCAGTCTACTATAAAGTAAAAAAAAACATAGATGTAAATAATACTCACCCAATGGCCTTTGCAATATAACCAAATGTGTTGACTGTGGCTCTACGAATAGCTTTTTTGTGTGCTTTTAAGAGCTCTAAAAGCTCAAAGCAAATCCTCATCCATTCTCTTGCAGACACATATTCAGCTCCCCTAGTTTTAAAAATAAAAGTTAATTTGTTTGTGACAGTAAGTTTTAAAAGGTAAATTTACAAATTCAGTTCTCAAAACATGATTACCAACTCATTTTAAGCCTTATGTAAGTTATTACTGTTCAGAAGAGATGGATTATTTTTAAATAAAAGCAAAATTTAATACACTGCTACTCCCTCATTATCAAACTGAAATTTCACTGAAAATATTAGCCTGACATATTAGCAAATTTGCAAAGTGAGTAAAAATGTGAAAACCAATACTACTTATAAAAATATTTAGGTAATCTGCTTACCTATCAGCAATACGCCCAACAAGATCAATACAATTCTCCTGTACTTTTTCATGCCTATTCTTTAAGATGGGGGTGAGTCTAGGCAGCAGATCTTTAATTGGTGGGGTCATCTTATGCATACCTATTTAACAAAAGTCAACACACTATCAATTAACATGTAAACTGCAAGCTTTGCTCATTTTATCTTTTACTTAACAATGTAATATATGTGACCAGGCATAAATACAAACTTACAGCTGCCTATGGAAAGAAAAAGTCCCAGATTCTGACCAAACGCAGAATTTTTAACTTTTCATTAGCAACTTCTGATTATGTATAAAAATGAAAGAAATTAGTGAAGTGATTTAAAGAATGATGGATACTCAACAACAAAAAAATTCCATTTAGTTCTGAAATGTATTTGTACACTGACATTTAAATATGGGGACAGCTTATGTTCCGGCCATACACAACAATATAAGCCAGAGGGAGACATGTAAATTAAAGCAAAATTTTCCAGAAAGGGCCCCCTTACCCTTTAACTGCAAAACAAACAGATCTCCAGTCTCCCTGCAATGCAGGGCATACTTGGATGGTATTTACACCTATGAAGAGAGAAAAAAGGAGGCAGCTGGCAGGGGCTCTTGTTCTAACTAGAATTGCTTGCTCTGATTCTCTCTCCATTGCTTTTCCCATGTTTCTCTGACCAACAATATGGTTTACAATTCCCTGCAAACCAGAGCCCCACAAGTGGCCAAGTAACTGATTTTTAGCAAATATCTCCAAATATAGAGGACAGGGCTGAACTGCGATTTATATGTAAATGCAATGGTTCAAAGACCTCCTATATTGCATAAAAACCCTTTACTAAAATGAGAAAAATAGTGGCTTATTTCAACCTCCTGATAGGTTATTTCTGCCCCTCTAAACTCTGCACAAGTCTGCAATAGTTCTATTCAATTACAATGAAACATAAAACACAAGACCATATTTATTGCTCCATCATAAGACCTTTAAAGAATAAAAGCTTTATTCTCCACACCCAAAAGAATTTACTTGTTTTAACTTTGGGTAAAAAGCTGAAAGGGTAGTTTAAAAGAATTGGATTTAAATAATGAGATTATTTGATCGATTCACTTTTCTCCCTGGTTATCATTCCTTGAACTTAATGGCAAGCAGGAAAACCTGCCATTTTATTCAAGTTGAGTAAATATACCATATTTAGTCTTAAAACTTCAGAGTTCTCTCCACCCACCATTGCCCTCCTATATATATATTCCAGGTGAGACACTGTATTTTTAAGGCCCTCTTACCCCATGACTTCATAGTTTTTGAGTTGTGACTATTCGCTCCTCTCTTGCAGGTCCTAAAACTTGCCCTCTTTTCTCTTTTAAAGTAAAATATAAATAGGTTTTGGGAGATAAGATTCTTGTGACATCCCAACTTAACTGTATTTTTTAGTAGTTAAAAAATTGTATCAGATATCTTCACTCAACTCCTAAACAGGATTCTGTATTTTACTCTCAAAAAATCCAAAGAAGTTTTAAAAAGCGAAAAACAAAAAATTCTTCCATAACCAACGAATACCATACCTATTACATTTACAATGGCCTTCAGTGCTCCAAGAATGCTGCCCAAGACTTCAGGGTACTCTTCACCCAAATACTCATACAAAACAACACCCAAATGTCCCATCAATTTTTCCTGTTAAAAAAAAAAATGATGAAATGTTACTGTTTATGCTATTTCTTTTGGTGAATAATTAAGAATCTGATATAAAAGTTTACCTCTTGACAAGTCTTCATGACAACAGCTGTTCGAGAGATCAAGTCAGCTGCCTGCTGCCTAACTTTTGCTGATTTGTTATTTAAACGCCACAAAACTGTACCACAGATCTGAGGCAAGTAAGGTTTGACTCGTTTGCCGAGAGCATTGACCACTGTACCAAAGCCGTTCAACATTACCGAGTCCTTATAAAGTAAAATTAAAAAAAAAAAAAAAGTTAAATTTAAAAACTATATTCAATGTGAACAAGAATTCAGTTTGTGACAAAACAGTTAAAATATACTAATATTCAGCTTCCAAAAATCTATTCTAAAAATGTGATATAGAAGCACATTTCTTTGTCGTTAACTGCATAAACATGGGCATTTAAAATTTTTAATTACTCCTTAGTGATATTTGCTTGAAACTACTTGTTACAAATATGAGTCAATGGCAACTTGCCATAATAATTAGTATCATTACCTCTGTAGTCTGTTCTTGGAAAGCATAGAGAATGCCATCAATCAGTTGTTCTTCAAGTTTATGATCAATATCTGCTGCTCCCAAGTTGCCCATAATTTTCTCAATTGTCTCCATCACCATTTTTCTGTACTGTTCAGCTTCATCTTTTAGATCATCCACAATCCTGGATATAATCTCTGCTGCACCTACTTTGTTTGCCAACTCCACAGTAGTATCAACTAACTAAAAAAGAGGGGAAAATTAATTTACTGCTTTTCCAAGGAAATACAGAGACATCATGAAAATGGAATATTCTAAAGATACTATTTAGCTAGTCAATGTGCTGAAAACAGCTGGCTCCTACTGCTAAAACTTTAAGATGGGACTTCCCTGGTGGTACAGTGGGTAAGAATCTGCCTGCCAATGCAGAGGGCATGGTCAGGGAAGATCCCACATGCCCACACCAACTAAGCCTGTGCACATAATTATTGAGCCCACACTTTGGAGTCCATGTGCTGCAACTACTGAAGCCCAAGAACCCATGAGCCAGAGCTCCACAACAAGAGAAGCCACCACAATGAGAAGCCCATGCCCCGCAACAAAAAGGAGCCCCCCGCTCACTACAACTAGAGAAAGTCCAAGAGCAGCAACAAAGATCCAGCACAACCAAAAACATTTTGTTTAAATAATAAAACTTTAAGAAAAAGGTGGCCAAAAAAATGAAGTATGAGTCTATGTCAAGGGGATTAAGGTTAAGATTATATTCATGCTTCATTTAAGCCAGATTAAGTAGTTCATTTACTAGATAAAAATGTCAATTCATAGTTGGCCATTTATTCTAGAACGCAAACTCAAAATGAAAATTGACTTGCTGACTAAAATCCATCCTCTTTCACAATCAAGCAAACAATCTATGAGATCCTCAAGGCAAAGTATGATTTATGTAATATGTAATCAAACTAATGGATTAATTTAAAGAATTTCTGAAAATATTTTTTTTTACAATAAAAACTTACCTGTCGGTAATTTCTTCTATCCAAAGCCATTCTATGTTGCCAAAAGTGTTTAAAAAAGGGAGGAAGGATCTCTGTTTTAATGTAGTTTGCTTCTACACCATCTGTTCCACAACACTGCTTTACCACCTAAAATGTTCAAAAAAATAATAATAGCAGCAGCAAACACAGTCTTGGTCTAAAATATATTTTTTAATGATATAGAATTCTTTTTCAACAATGAAACACATCCAATTTAGATTAATAAATATGGAACAATCTGGAACAAGTACCTTTAGCACAATTTTCTTCATTTCTTCATCAGGAGACTGGAATTCTCGAATAAGAATTAACATCACTTCTCTAGTATAGTAGTTGGCATATTCTGCATCCATGAGAGGAATAAGATACCCAATAGCCTTTAAGAAAGCGGCAAGACCCTATTTTAAAATAAAAAATATATATATACTTAGTAAATTAGATTTAGGTCACTTGAACTTCAATGAGTAGAAATAAAAAACACAACCAAACTGGTGAATTTACCTTTCCTCTGTGTTGGCGGATACCCTTCCATAGAGGCTTTAACACAGAATCAAAAGATTCGATACCATAAGGGGTTGCTGCTTCAGCCAAGGCAGCAATGGCCAAAGCGCTAATGGTCCGAACTTTCTGCTGCTCATCCACAAGACCTATAGAAAGCCAAACACAGGTTTCAACTAAGCAACACTGCCTAATTTTAACTCAGATAGTACTACTGAGATCCCAGCAATACACCTAACCATTTAGTCAAACTGTAGAATCTGTTCACATTGGACAAAGGCAAAAACCAGTATGAACTACAGCCTATTACACCAGCTAATATTACAAATCATAAACTATATGGTGTTTATGTAGATCACCTTCCACTTCTCTCTTCAAAAATCAGTAGCCCAAATTTCAGGAAACCTGTCTGAAAACAAAGTTATCCTTCAACTTACCATGTTCAATGATTTCAACTAAACTTCTCAGATGTGGCAAGATGGCACAGCCCATGAGAATAGCTATCTGCTGTACAATCTTTATACCAGTGTGCCTCGCTTGCCAGGACTTCTTGCTTTTGCACACAGCTTTTAAGAAAGGCAATAGTGAAGGAATGCCCAGAGCAGAGGCCACAACAGCAAACGCTCGAGCTGTTGTGTTACGGACATACTCGTCCATGTTATCTATATCAGGTCTCATGGTGGAGATCATAGTAGCCAGTCCAGCAGCCTGAAAGTTCAAGAAAAAATTGATAATAATGAGTTGATAACATTAACCTTCAATAATTTTGTTCTAAAATTGAATAATCCTATCAACAAATATAAAACTTTCTTTTCCAGAAACATAAATACCTTTGCCAAATTAGAAATAATCTCTCTGCCTTCCACTCGAGCGTAGTAATCTTCATCAATCAACAATGGTTCAATGACCACTAGGATCTGAAAAAGAGAAGGAGCTACATTTTTACACCAGTTACTGATGCAACGCTCATGTAACAGAGTACGTATAAAGAAAATTTTAATTTCCAGGACTGTGTTAATTAAGGGACAAATTAAGATTTTTTAATCACACAACTTTAAACCCAACATAAAAATCAGTATTTGGGAGAAATGGTAATACAAAAAATTATTAAATACAACATACACACACACCCCTATCTGCATTTTACAATTCTAAGCCATAATTACCATCAGCAAAAAGATGGTTCTTAGTACTAAATGGCTAATGATACATAAACATACATTTTCACATCCTATTATCAATAAAAGCAAATTAAAAATGAGTACTATGAACCCATTATATAGGATGGCCAAAAGTAACATCTATTTATACATTTGTATATGTACCTACATGCAAAGAAAAAGGTCTGAGGGCATGTAAATGAAACAATGGTTAACTGAGTATTCTTTAAAAGGAGCTGAAGTTTCCCTTTTTTATTGTAAATGTATAGCATCAGTTGTTACTTTTAAGAATTTTCACATTTCACATATATATCTATTGATAAGTCGGTAAAAAAAATTATGAATTCTTTTTATATCAAAATATATCAAGTCATTAGAAACACAACTGGAGAACAAACCTTGTGTACATATGGTCGAACTAAGTCATCAAGTTTGTATAATATTCTATCAATAACTTTCACAAGTAAATGACGCTCTTGATCCTCAAGTGTAGGTGACATCAGCAGAGGAAGAATCTGATTAAACAAAGGACCAGCTCCAAATTCACGAGCTTTATCAGTAATCTGACGCAATGCAGCCTGGAAGAAAGAGTAAAGGTAGGTTTCTTGATTATAAGCATTCTGAATGGGAGCAAAATAATTACTCCATGGTTTTCTGTAACTGAATATTTTAGTGTAAACTTCACAGATATTTTACATACAGAAGTATGTGTTCATTCCCATCAAAATTACTCTGAAGTTTGAACGCCTGTGATAAAGGCTTAATCAATGTTTTCAGATAATTCTAACAGGGTAACTGAAAGATAGAGAAGGTGTAGAGAAAAGGGAACCTTCCTACACTACTGGTGGGCATGTAAGCTGGTGTAGCCATTGTGAAAACAGTATGGAGGTTCCTCAGAAAATTAAAAATAGAATTATCATATGATCCAGCATCCCACTCCTGGGCATATATCCAGACAAAACTCTAATTCAAAAAGATACATACACCACCTATGTGCACAGCAGCTCTGGTCACACTAGCCAGGCTGTGGAAACCACCCGAATGCTCACTGAGAGATAAATGGACAGATATGATACATGTGTACAACAGAACACTACTCATCCATAACAAGAACAAAGCAATGTCATCTGCAACAACACGGGGGCAACTAAGGATTATTACTGTAGTAAGTCAGAAAGAGAAAGACAAATACCATACAATATCACTTAAAGGTGGAATCTAAAATACAACACAAACGAACCTATCAACAAAACAGACACAACAAACAGACTTGTGGCTAGGGGGCGGGTGGGATGGACTGAGATTCTGGGGTTGGCAGAATGCAAACCATTACATTTAGGATGGATAGAAAACAAGGTCCTAGTGTATAGCACAGGGAACTATACTCAATATACTCTGTGATAAACCGTAATGGAAAAGAACATTAAAAAAGAACATATATAGGAATATAGCTGAGTCACTTTGCTGTGCAGCAGAGATTAGCACAAAACTGTAAATCAACTATACCGTCACTAAAAAAAAAATTGAAAAAATATAAGAAAAAAAGGGTAATTTAATAGGAAGAGTCACAAGAGTATAAGGTAAAACTCCTAAAGTTCTCCTAAAGGACCAACCATTTTCAAACCACATATGATACTAATTTCCCACATAATTCTACTAATTCTCTTATCTTCAGCATGTTTTAAAGGCTTAAGAGGATAAAATGGAGAATCTCTAAGATTATAATGAACATGAAGATTTAACAAACTGGTACTTACCTTTCTCATAGGAGGTGTTCCATTCTTAATTTTTAAAAGCAACTTCATTATTTTTCTCTCTTTTTGCTCTTCTGGACTAAGAGTTGATTCATCGACATCAACCTAACAGTAAAAAGTAAAAAATTTAAAGGTCAGTGGAGATATGATGACTTGTAACTGCTAAATAAAGTTAGTATTTTATATCTGTTATTATCACTTACCAAAAGTTTATCAAAGTATTGAATATCATCAGGTTTTAAAAACGGAAGATTTCCAGATGGTTGGTCATTAACGTTTTTCATAGTTCTATCTTCCGTTTGCATGTGGAAACCTGTCATACCACCCAAAGGTGTTGGAGTTGCTGTCAGCTTTCGAGCTGGAGTTCGAATAGGAACATACCCAGCTGGAGGAGGAAGTACCTAATACAATTAAAAGACAGTTTAGGACTTTCTTAGCTTTATATAGTAAATGATGACAAAAATGAGTAATATGTGCACATAAGAAGCTTTTTGCTTAGACGTAAGAGTTAACATCAATTAACATAAATCTCATTTTTCTATTTTAATTGTATGTTTAAAATATATGGCAAGTATTACTCTTTCTCGTCAAATTTAAATTTAGATTAAGTGTATTAAAAGTGTGGGAAATGATGAGATACATGAGGCAGGCTTACAAAATTCTGATCACTTTCAAACATTAGTCTATATAAACATATTGGCGAACCAGTATCATATAAATGCAAATAAGCTCACAAAGTGCACAGAATGCATAAAAGATTATATTAATAAAAAATTTAAAATTAATTCATGGAAATCTCTGCGCTACAAAAGAAAATCTCTTTTAAGACTGTACAAAAATGAGTAATTGCCTAAAAATCCAAAATGTCGAGCAAAGCCCTATAAACACACACCATTTGACTAAAATAAAAAAATTCACTCAATATTCACAAAGGAGGATTTTCCCCTTCTACTTATGAAGAAATCAATGAATGAAATCGAGACATACACTCAAGCAGTCAACAGTAGGCTGGAGAGTGACTATACCCATAGTATCACATGGAGATTTGTGGTGATTTAGTCGCTAAGTCGTGTCTGACTCTTTGTGACCCCATGGACTGTACTGCATGCACCAGGTTCCTCTGTCCATGGGATTTTCCAGGCAAGAACACTGGAGTGGGTTGCCATTTCCTTCTCCAGGGGACCTTCCCCACCCAAGATTACAAAAAGTTATGAAGAAGTTAATTCATGCATACTTAAAAACAAATACTCTAGTACAAACCTAGTGAGGAGAGAGGGGAAAATACATAAAACTGTTAAGAAGGAATAGACACTGGCAGAAAAGGCCCAGTAAAGACCATCAAATTACTTAGGTTCCAGCCCTGATTGTAACACATCAGCTATTATGACCACGTTTAGACCATCAAAAGGTCCTTGAGTCAAAGGTACCTACAAAATTTTATACTTCAAGTTGCTATGGTAAAGCAAGAACATTCTTTGTGTTCACTGGCAATCCATGAACTAAATACACAGGATCTTGTGAGACATCAAGTAAAATAACCATGATCTAATGTGGAAATGAAACACACTTGGAAATATCTAAAGAATGAAACAAAGTAGTATATTTGGGCAAGACCAATGCAAACTTGACCAGTTAATATTTTTAAAGAATATTTAAAACAAAAACCAGGCAATTCCCTGATGGTCCAATGGTTAGGACTTGTCACTTTCACTGCTGGGGCCAAGGATCAATCCTCGGCCCCAGAATGATTGGGAATTGATATCCTTTAAGCCTCATGGAGCACCCCTCCCCCCCAAATCCACATTCTAAAAACCAGATTCATGTTGTTATTACCTTATATCCTTCTGGGAACATAGCATCTAATTCTTCATCAGATAATGGGCGATTTCTCTCATCAATTTCGCGCTCCCACCGCCAAGCCTGAAGCTGCTCAGGAGTCATACTCATTATGTGACCTACCAAAAAAGCAAATATCTGTAATAATCTATATAGCGCAAGATTTTTATCATTACATAGGTCCTTGGGATTGGATATTTAAGACAGTTAAGATCAATTCTGACATTCATTTTTATATTATAAACTCAGACTTCCTTTTATGTCCTGTTACTCTTGCTAAAAATAGGCATTAATAACACACAGAAAACCACAAACAAAAAGTTAAAAATACTAACAGGAAAAAAAAATTATTTCCAATGATAAAGTTTCTACCTGGAGTAGGGGTGGCCATGTTCATGGCTGGCGTGCCAATTGGTGTCTTTCCAGGGGTCAGAACAGGAGTACTTCCACCCATCTGACTAGCTGGTGTTTCATCCCAACGTGACTTTCTTTTACTGGCTCCGGGAGTTGGTGTTTCACCAATGGAATCTCCACCTCGATCTGTTCGAGGAGTCTCAGCCCATCCACTTCCATGCCCAGGAGTATCTTTAAAGAAAAAGAGTGAATAAGCCTAAAATTTTAACCACTGTCAAAAAAATGACTATTTATTCTCAAAGAGTTAACAAACTCAAACTGATGAAGTTCAGAAACAAGAAAAGGAAACAGGAGCAAATAATTTTTTCAATCACTCACAATACCACAACCCAGAAATAGCCACTTTGTGTATCTTGAGCCATTTTTCATTTTTCCAGAGTGAGGTTACTCTGAATGTGCAATTTTATACTGCTTCTCTTCTGTTTTTGTGGGAGGAGGAGAAGGGGGTGTGTGGTTTGCGGAATCTCAGGTCCCTAACTAAGGATTGAACCCAGGCCCCCGCAGGGAAAGCACTGAGTCCTAATCACTGGACTACAGAGAATTTCCTTCATTATGTGTTAAAGTACTCTGCCCTATCATTAAACATTCTTTATGAATTTTTAATATAGCAGATGTACTATTAAATCTTAACTTTCAAAAACTATTCTCACAGCTTCAGATAATTCATACAAACAACGAGATTTAGGCAAATTTACACAAACAAAAAGTAGATGAGAGGTTATCAGACGCTGGGATGAGAAAGAATGGCGAGTTATTGTTTAATGGGTTCAGCTTTTATTTGCAATGAGAAAGTTCTAGAAATCATAGTGATAATGGCTGCACAACACATGAATGTACTTAATGCTACTAAATCGTACCCTTAAAATGAGTAAAATAGCAAACTTGACATTATGTACAATAATGACGATATTACATGACAATAATTGATGTTATTATACTACAATATAGTATAGGTTATAGCCTATAAACTTCATGTTCTCCTAATCTTCTTCCTGGGAAGCCCTGATGGCTCAGGCTCAGCAGTAAAGAATCCACCTGCAATGCAGGAGACGCAGGTTCGATCCCTGGTTCAGGAAGATCCCCTGCAGGTGACAACCCACTCCAGTATTCTTGTCTGGGAAATCCCATGGACAGAGGAGCCTGGCAGGGCTACAGTCCATGGAGTCACATAAGAGTGGGACACGATTTAGCGACTAAGCAATAAGAAATGTTCCTCCTAAAATAAATCTTAAACCTCTTTAAGAAGGGAAAAGATTTACACATATAATTTGCTCAGTTCTTAACCTGTCCCGAAAACATCTGGCTATTTATCTGTCTATCCAGGACCAGAAGAACTGAGTTTTACCCATAGACATACCACTCATCAAACCAGCATTTTACCCAAACACATGCCGAGATTCCACTAGAAGTACCTCTTTCTGTTTTGGGGGTCTCATCCCATCTGTTTTTACGAGCACTGGAAGTTGCACCTCCATGGCCTGGTGTTGCATGGCCTGGTGTATCGCCTCGTCCAGGAGTAGCAGCTCCCGCAGGTGTGTGACTAGGGGTAGGATCCCATATTTTTGAGCCTGGGGTTGCTCCAGGAGTTTCGCTTCCCTTTGCACGACCTGGTGTTTCATCCCATCTTAAGGAAGGGGTATGTCCAGGGGTCTTAACAGAGTAAAACATTTTTATTTCAGACATCCACTAGAAAACTTAAAAAAAATGAAATGTTTCAATTCATGATTAAGAGAGCAGATTATCCTTCTGCCTAAAAGATACCTACTTTCTAAGCAAACATGTTTATGACTAAAAACAATTTAAAGATTTAATTTAAAGCACTGAAAAAAGCCCTAGCTTAAAAAAAACAACATATTTTGGGTAATAATCTTGTTATGCCACTGATGGCTCTGTAACTTTGAGAAAACATTAAAGTGTCTCTGTTGAGATCTCAAAAACTTTCAGTTCTAATGATATACACCTCTCAAATCTGGGGCTTAGAAACGTAAGCACCAAATTTCCCACTAAGAATATTTTTGTATTTTTGTTCAATTTTATGTGTTTAATTATTTTAAGCATGTTTTGAATCACTTGGGTAATTGCAACTTGATACTACCACATAATTTCAAATCCTTGAAATGAGGTTATATTTATAATCATCTTTGTATTACTCTCAAGATTAATGAAAACAAAAAAATTAGAAGCTGACTTAATCTAAAGTTCCATGGTAGTTCAAATAAAGACAAACAGTGAGTGATATACGGCATCAGACAGTGTGATAGCAAAATAACCTGCACAATGCAGACAATATCATATCAAAAATGGCAGGTCATCAGTGGAAACAAAATTTGTATTTAAATAATTCTGTAAGTTTTGTAGTATATTTTTACATATTTCTTTTAAAGTTGGATGCTCCACCCAAGAGTTCTATTTAGCTTTATGTTTGCAAATAAGAATCAGTTGTTTTTTTTTCTTTCAAAAGATTCTATATATTAATCGGGGTTGAGAAATTCTTACTTAGGTGAGTAAAGCATATAAGCAGTTGGACCATAAAGAAGGCTAAATGCCGAAGAATTAATGCTTTCACATTGTGGTGCTGGAGAAGACTCTTGAGAGTCCCTTGGACTGCAAGGAGATCAAACCAGTTAATCCTAAAGGAAATCAACCCTGAATATTCATTGGAAGGACTGATGCTGAAGCTCTAATCCTTTGGTAACCTGATGTCAAGAGCTGACTCACTGGAAAAGACCCTGATGCTGGCTGGGAAAGACGGAGGGGAGGAGAAGGGGGCAACAGATGATGAGACGGTTAGATGACATTACCACCTCAATGGACATAAATCTGAGCAAACTTCAGGAGATAGCGAAGGACAGGGAAGCCTGGAGAGCTGAAGTCCACAGGGTCGCGAAGGGTCAGGCTCAACTTAGTGACGGAACAACACTGAACAGTAACAAGGCACATAAACTGTTAAAAAAAAAATCTTTCTGGCAACTGCTCTTCCTGCTCAATCAGGTAGGTAAAAATTCTTCCTACTATCCACTGTAATTCCTACAGACATGATTAGAATGGAATTGTGTTAAATGAGAAGCATGAAAGAAAATATGGTCTGAATCTCTAAAGTTTTTATAAAACAGACATCAACTCTTGGGTCGTCTTTTCTGTTAAAGAGATACAAGGTAAATTTCTTTTTCTCAGTTTTAAAAACGTACACTGAATGCCAATCACAGAATTTAACTTACTAATAATATTTCTCTGCAGAATCAAGCCCTCTCATGTATCAGCAAGCAAATGGGAAGTCCTCAAGATCTACCTTAAATTAAATTGTTTGGAAATTATGTGTTAGGTTTAGAACTCAGTTTTGAGTTTGGAAAAACACTATGCCATGGCCTGACATGCTTTTCCTCATTTGTAAATAAATCTGCAGTAGCCTATACTAGAGTGTACAGTGACTTAGACTAGGGTAGTGGGGACAGAGATCATGTAAAGTGGCTAGATCCTGAATATATTTAAAAGTGGGGCCAACAATTTATTTTGGATAGGATGTCAGATTAGAGAATAACAGGAATATATGATGACCCTGAAGGGTTTGGTTTAAGCCAATATACATGGGAGCAGGGTGGAAAGAGTATAGGGAAAATCAATTTTATTTTAGAAATACTGATTTTGAGATGCCTATCAAATACACATCAAGGTAGATGTGTTGGGTCTGAGGAACAGAGAAGGATGGATTTATAAATTTAGAAGTTGTCTTACAAAGACAGTATGTAAAGACAGGAGCGAGATCCTAGGAGTTAATTTAGACTGAAAAAAGATTTGAGGATTGAGCATTAGAGTATACTAAATTTAAGGAAGCTGAGGATGATACAGCAAACAAGACTAAAAAGTAGTAGCCACTAAGAGGAGTATTAGGAAAATCAAGAAAAACTGAAACCCAGAAGCTAGGGGAAAAAAAGGTATCAAAGAATGTCTACTGATACGCTGAGTAATCTGAAGATTGAGACCTTACTTGGATTTAGCAATGAGGAAGTCACCTTGACAAAAAATCTGTTAGAGGGGGTGCAAGCGAAAGCAGAGTGTCAAGTACAGATAAATGACTCACTCAAAGCATTTAGTAGTAACAAAAGAAAGAAATGGGATGGTAGCTGGGAAGGGGATATGAGGATCAAGAGATGATTTCTTGCAATTTTTTGTTTTTTTAAAAGATAATGATCAGGAAAATGTGTTTTTTGATGATAATAACCTAGAGTACAGAGAAAAAAAACTGATGTTATATGAGAGTCCTTGAGTAATAAGAGACGGGAAACGGTACATAAACAGACGGGTTAAGCTGTATATAGTCAATTTGTACCAACAGTCCCTATTATAAGAGATGGAAAAGCAGAGTAGATGAGAACACATATAGGCATATCAATAGACTTCACAGTGGGAACATTTATACTTTTGTCTTTTTAACTGTTCCTATTTGGAGTGAGAGAGAAATAGAAAGCAAAGTCCCAAACTAAGCAGCAGCAGCTCAGGAGGTACAGGCTTCACAGAACATGAGGAAGTCATTTGAAGGGAAGGGGAACAGAGCCACTGCTTGATGATCAGTGTTTGTCTGAAGTGACGAAAAAGTTTAGGAATATAAATCATGGTGGTTCTCACACAAATAAATCTTGGTGGTTCTTGTACAACATTTTAAGAGTAATCAATATCATTAAATTGTACACTTAAAAATGGTTAAAATGGCAAATTGTTATTTTACCACCAAAAAAAAAGTTTCTGGGAAAATAAACTGACAAAGAAAATGCAGTAGTAGTGTGTATCTGACAGCTGTGGTCAGACTTAAAATCATCCATCTAGAAAATGAAGAGGGCCGCTACGTTATACTTAACCTCCATATGTGACGTACTTCCATATCTGTATTTAATATTTCAAAACAAACATCCTCTTAGCCCAAGTTTTAAACAGAACTGTCTCCCCCAGAAGTCGTGCTGAAGCCCTCACCCTTGCTCTAACTGTACTTGGAGACTGAACCTTGAGTGAGGTCCTTAGGTTAAATGAGGTCACGAGGTTGGGCCCTAACCTGACAGGACTGGTGTCGCCTCAGGCAGAGCACAGACACCAGAGCTCCCTCGCCCCTTCCACGTGTGCAAAGGCCACATGAGGACACAGCAAGAAGGCAGACTCGGCAAGTCAGGAGGAGAGCTCTCGTGAGGCACCGACCCTACTGGCACCTTCATCTTCAAGCCTCCAGAACTGTGAGAAAATAAATGCCTCTTGTTTAAGCTGCCCAGTCTGAGGTTATCTTATTAAGTCAACCAAAGCACATCAATGTATTCCATCAGAGAAATAAATTAAAAATAGTAACAATAAAAAATAAAAGGAAATTACCTCTGCTTGATCCCAACTTGATAGCTTTTTTGGAGTGGCACCAGGAGTCTGATCAGCTGTTTGATCCCAACGTCGTTTCCGTTTTGAGGGAGGCTGGGATGCTGCTGCTCCATTGACGACTTTTAGTTCTCCAGCCTTAGCTTTTTCTGCTAGCTGTTGCCTAATTTCTCTCTGAAAAATATACAAACAGTGAGCATCTTTAAAACACTTTCAATATATTTTCATACCATTAGTAGAATTATTTCTACATAACACCATTTTATTCTTCACTCATTCTCCTTTCTATGCTACTGGTATTTCCATTCCTTATTTTCCCTTTATTTCCTGTATTTTCAAGCTTTATACACTGTCTTTCTACATAATAGATGAGCAAATATGGAACGTATTACATAGACAGCCACTGCTTTATATATAGCTAATGAAGTATAATCTTCAGTCAATGGCAGCAAACCAAAATGTTTCCAGTGAAAAATACTTCAAAAAAAAAGAAAAATACTTCAAGTAAAACTCATAAAAATAGCAATAAAGACTATGTAATGAGTTGGGAAAGTGATAAATTTTCAAAATTTTATTGTAATTATAACTACGTATTATATATAGTCACAATAAATATACATTTAATTTACCCTATGATTTTAAAGTGGAGTTCTATAATCCCACTAGATATATGGAGTTCCATAACTCCCAAGTCTAATATATATTCATAATAAAGTTATGAAGACTAAGTATTAAAACAGAGCAATCTCTGCAGGCCAGCAGGAACTCGTCAGAATATTCAAACTGAATTTCCACACATATTCAAATTGAATTTTGTGGAAGAGTAAGAGGCTTTTCAAAAAATGATTTCACTATTTGACTTTTCCCTTACACAGTGACTTCAGGGACACACCATTAATAGCCCCCACAGATACGTTCACTATAAAATATATACGTATACACATATATATACAATATGTATGAATGTGTGTGTATATATATGGCCAAGGGGCCAGGCACTAGAAAAGGACAGTACAAAGACATGAAAAGCTCAATCTGGGAGGTGGTAGAATTCTGGATAAGGTTCTTTCTCAGCTTTTTATTAACAGTAACAGAAATAATAAAGTAAGCAGTATTTGCACAGCAAATAAAAAAGGAAATATAAAAGTCTCTCAATCTCAGCTTCCTTTACACTCTTCCAACACTACGAAAATAAAAAGCAGGTTTACAGACCTCTTCTTTAGTTAAATGCTGTTCTCGCATTACATCCATGTAAGTCCTAGCATTCATTTTGGGATCAGGGGTCTTCCCTCCTGCAGAAAAGAACAGCAACAGGACAAGAGTACAATAAATAAAAGATAATTAGGTTCAACGGATTTATCTGCCCTGCTCTAATATTACATTATTCCATAATCATTTAATTTATTTTTTGATGAAAAACTTTAATAATTATACATCTTACTTTTTATTGAGTTTGCTGATCAATTTAACCTGTTTGAACACAAACATATCTACAGCAGTTTAAAACAAAGATTTTAATGCATATAAAAACAAAATGACAGCACAGTTTAGTGTCTTCAGAAGTGATGGGTTCCTGGGTTGCTAATCCGGAATACGTACACTTTCGTGCCTTTGTCTCCATCAGCAGTTCTGACTTCAAGCAGCAGAATAGAAGCCTAGAAAATTATCTCTTTACCATTAGTAACACTTTGGAAAGATATTTATATTCAAAACATTACCTGTTGCAAGCTGTTAAAATCCTGACTACAAGTAACTATGACTAGATAAGTTCTTCATACAATGTTCTAAGACAGTTACAGTTTAGAAAATCTGACTTTTAAAAATATACCTCTAATCTTATTCTGATGTCATGTTACTAAAAAGGGCTTCATGGGCTTTCCATGTTTTGTTGACCCAGAAACATATTTTTATCTTCTTAGAAAGTATAAATAACAACTGGAAACATATTACTTGAAATATATTACTTCTACCAGTTATTATGATGCATATAGAAAAAAAGTGGTGTACAAAGAGATGTGTTAGTCTCTTGGTTAAAGTTTCAGTATTTGCTTTTCAAACTTCGAAATATCTTAAAGAAGCCCAAACAAAACAATACAAGATTCACAGAGGCACACGATGTTTTAGAAATGTGATAATTAGCTATACAAGTAGTATAGCATCATAATTTAGGAAAATATAATAAAATTCTAAGACATTTCCTATGCTGAAGATCATGCCCAATTGATAGTGTCATTCTTTCTGACACTAGCTCTGATAAGACTTCCTTTGGAATACTTTTTCACCATAATCTAGAGAGGATGTGTTGAACTGCACCCTTAAGAATGCAGACAGGACTGGCATATAGCAGTACTGCTGTAGGAAAGAAATTAAGGACAGTTAGTATGGGCCTGTGAATTCTGACATACATGTTTAAATCAATTACAATTATGCAAGTAAAAAAAGAATATCCCTACTAATTCATGCAGGCTGAAAGTCTAATTTATAAACCTGCAGCAGAATCTAATTTTAAGAAACAGGCACCTAATTTTGATTTTGAAACTCACTCACCTGAGGAAAGCATCCATCAGGCTCACTATGCCCCTTGTGCTGACCTGCACACTAAAATCAGCAAAACAGACTCCAACTATTAAAAATATCAAAGTCTTTGTATACATACTTCTGTTTTAACTTTAAGTTTGCTCAGAGCAAAGTAGGTGCATTTATTAAACTATATTGAGAGCAATATGGGGGGAGCTTTAATGTGGAAACAGTTTCTCAAAAGTAACAATCCTAAAAATCTAGATTTGGGATGAAAACTTTCAATAATTTGAAAGTATCTTGAGCAGAAAAACACATTTGTTCAAAGTAAAGAAAGCGTACCCAAAACAAAAGTAAAAGAAAAACCTTTAACCCTTTGCGTTTCTATGGCATTGGCTCATTAGTTTCTTGTCCTTCTACCTGGAAAGAAAACTGGCATTATAAAGATGAAGAATATGGCATCTGTGACTTCAACCAAATCTACACAAATCTATAGTAAGGGGGATTTTAAAAAAGAAAAGCAAATTCATAAGCATGCCAAAAAAAATCAAAGGGCTAAAGACAACTTAACATAAATAAATTTCTGAATACTTATAGAAAAGTGGGAAAGAATTACCATCTGCAAAAGGATCAAGACGCTCAGGGGAAATTATCATGGTCCGCCTGTGCTTTTTGTATTCATCTTCCCGATCTGCAATCTTCGGAGGTCGGTGCTCAGCAAATGGATCATACTGAAAAGAGGTATGTCTCACTTAATATTCACTTATTAAATAACCAAACAGAAAATCACAAACAAAAGTCAGAACATTATAAAACATAAAAATGTTTAATAAATGCCTACTAATATTCTTTATCATTACTCACATTAATGCTACTGGGAGAAAGTAAGGTATATGAGAAATTTCCATAGTTCAATCCCCTTCATGAAATGATCACCTTTATAACATAACTATTTCTAATTTTCTCAAAATCAACTCTCCTCAAAACACTAACTGACTCCTAAAATAAATGAGTTTCCCCGGGAGCTGGGACATTCAGTTTTCTTTAACCGAATAAACTCTGGTTAATTTTTCTTAAGTTACCTGCTCTGTTGACTGCGGTATGTCGTTAAGCAATGCCACAGGGGCATGATACCCTGGCTTCTTCTGACCAAGCAAACTTGTAGATGATGAGTAGTCATCGTCATCCTGCAATGGGATGCCCCCAAAAACCACACAGAAACGTCAGAACTCAGAAACTACACAGTACATAGAGATTCAGTATGAGATCAAAATACAGTACGACGAAACTTGTTAGCACTTGGGTTTTCTGTTCAACTCAAAAACTACCTAAAAAATTAAATTTAGTTTTCTATGCTCTTAGAAAGACTAAATAAAGACTGCTTTCTGTGGAAGTCTATTAAAATAAGTTATATATGGACTAGAAAAATGTGAGCATTTCATTTTTCGCAGTGGGCATGATTAAATTTGTTTTTCAGATTTGGAAACTACAAACAGCTTCTTTAGAATTCTCCAGTTTCCTGGTCTAACTCTTCTTTAAAAAACATGGTTTAACCACAGAAAAAAGTAAAATGTAATTAATTTTAAATGTATTTCCCTAATAGTATTACTATGTTTAGACAGAATAATGTTATATTATTATTTTACTAATGTAGGAAGTACCACAACAGGCAGATCTCAAGAAGATCTTAACACGTCACTGATTTTATTTAGAACTGAAAAAGCAATTTCCTGCTCAGCTTCTTGAACACAGAGCCATTACTGCCTCTTACCATTAAGTTATGATATGCAAAGAGGCCTGACTGGCTTCTACAAATTTTGCTTTGGCACTTTAAAATTTTTCTTTAAAAAAAGTGCTAACTATTAAAATATGGCTTGAATTTCATAAAAACAAGTTTCACAATCTATATACATAGGTTACTGAATCACACAAAAATGATAAGCTACTTCACCAAATTTGGATATTTGGGATGGTTTGACAAGATATAAGCTCTGTGGAATATATGAAAACACTTTAAGAGATGTGTTTCAAGATGAGAGGTAGTCATCCTTCAGAGTAACTAAAACAGGCTCAAAAAAGCCCATTAATGTCAGTACCAAGAAACAGTTCGTTCATATTAAGATACCAAGGGAGGAAAAAAACAGTACCAAGCAAAAATCAGAGGTCACAAGCCATCTACAATGAAATCACTTCTTACAGGGCTCCTGCAGATAGAGCTCAGTAGGTAACAATAACTCAGTAGGTTACTTTGTTAATGATTTCCAGGTGCTTTGCTGAATAAACTAGCTTTAAAATAAGAGTCAGAACTGAGCATTTCCAGAAGTCTCAGAAGAGAAAGACACCTTCAACAGTTTATCCTCCCAAAGAAATTATTTCTCAATCTCCAAAATGCCTTCCAAGATTAAACCAGATGACTCAAACAGAAGATTCCTTTATATTTCTTGCTCTCCAACAAAAAAATGCTTGGACTCTGTACACTATGAAACCTACATCTTCAAGTTCAGTTGCAGCAATTGATGTCACGTATCCAGCAAACCTGCTGTCACTTCCACCGTAAATTTCCTGGTCATAATAACCCGTAGAATCAAGGCCCACTCCTTGAGCTTCATCAAGAGCTGCCTTCTTGCCTTGAATTTCCCGGATCTGTGCTTCAATATCTGTAAGGAAATAAATACATATTTTCTTAATCTCATTTTCCAAACAGCACTCAACATATTTCTCTACTGCGTATTATCAAAATAACCATAAAAAGTATTGATTTTTAATAAATTTAAAATATCTCCACCTCAACAGAAGGTACTTATGCACACAAAAGAAATCCTATTTCATCAACTACGATTTACTCTTACCTTAAAAACAGCTTGCCAAAGTTTATTAAACTACCGTGATAGTCTAACCTTTCCCAACTGAAAAAAATCCTGGTGATGTTGATTAGGGAGCTAGAACAACACTTAAGATTATATAAACACTGCCAGAGAAGTAAAAACAGTACTGTAGAGAGTGGGTCCCAAACCCAAATGTACAACAAATCGTCTATGGGTTCTGATTTTGTTAGAATGCAGAAGGCCTAGATCAGACCCAAGTTTCTGCATTCCTAATAAGTTCCGAGGTAAAAACCTAAACATCTTCATAGTAAAATAACAAAGGATAAAATCTAAATTCTTAAGCATGTAATACAGAGTCCTACAGTTTGGCTGCAACCACCATCACATTAGATTTATAATTTAAGAGTCCGAGCTTTAGAATAAAAATGTATGCCTTAAAGGCTCTTTACCTACTAATTAATACACTGATCTATGTGTCTCAGTTTCCTACAACAGAGTTTCATTTTAAGGATTAAATGACATAATGAACATGAAACACTTAAGCATTCAATGAGTCCCACAAGCACTGTGTCTATCCATAGGTCTGATATTCAGAAGATGCAAATATGGTGAATGAAGTATCAACTCTTAACTGCTTTGCTAATTTTAACTCTTCATCATCTTATAATCTAACTTCATATCTCAATCAATTATCTAAATCATGATGTCCCAATCATTCTAGTAACATCCTTCACATCCTAGTAACACGTTCTCTTGTTTCCTGATCGTATCAAGAACCACACACTGCATATAGTCATGTCTCTTCAGTCTCCTTTAAATACAGACTAGTCTTCCAACCTTTTTTGAAAGTCTTTCCTGACACCAAATAACTTTAAATTACAAACTAATGTTTCTAATAATCTGAATAATATATAGGTGTGTAAAGAAAAAAGCATTTCCACAGCCAGCAATCTGTGATCTCACAAATAGGCATTTCTTGCTAGCTCATTACCTTCAACTGAACTAGTCCTTTGATACCAGGCACTATTGAAACACTTGTTTATTAGTTTGCAAGCATCAAAAGGAAAAAATTCAAGTGGTACAAATAAATGCCTGACCCCCACCCCCAGCTAAGGGAGAAAATCCTAAGTCTTCAAGATGTGTGTGGTTTAAAGTAGAAAATGTAGGGATTTCTCTGGGGGTCTGGTGGCTAAGTCTCTGTGCTCCCAAAGCAGGGGGCCCAGGTTAGCTCCCTGGCCAGGGAACTAGATCCCACATACTGCAACTAAGACCCAGCGCAGCCAAATAATTATTTTTAAAAAATAAATAAATAAAAGTAGAAAATGTAATAACATTATCTAGTCCAAGGCACAGCGTGCGGGAGCAAGTCTCAGAAACTCAAAATAATGCAATAGAGTTAATACTGAAATTAGCAGCCCGTTTGTAAACAAATCTCTTATAGTGTATCAGAGCACTACCATCCCCACTCATTTTTCCTGCATTTCTCCCCTCCAAACTGTTACAGTAGCCCAGGCAGCCAAGGGCCTCCATCACAATTAACCACAAACAGAAATATCATCATCTGAGTTGACTGATTCATTTTACTATTCTCTCTACTGTTGTTTATATATTTATATATATATTTAAGCTTTAACCCATATTAGCTCCCCCCACAACACTTTTTCTCCTGGTATGATACAAAGAAATCTCTGAGATTAGTAAGATTGCTCAAGGGTGAGTAGAGATCTAGTCTCATTTTTTCCTTTTTGAACATTCCCATTTCAGAAATGTTTATGGTTTAAAGAAAAAACAACTACTAGGTGCATGTATCATTTTTGAAAGTAAATAGATTTTTTTTTTTTAAAGAACCACAAATACTACTGTCATCAGGACTCAGGCAATAAATACAAATGGGTTAATCGCGCCAGCCAAATATTCTGCAATCTCCTCTCCACAGCCATTAGTGCAGTCTACTAATCAAAATCACCTGAGGAATCTGTTACAAGAACAGACTCCTAGGCCTCAAATACACTAAATCAGAACTTCCAGTGTATGAACCCAGGCTTCCACATTATCAGGAAACTCAAACCTAGCCCAACACTTCTCCATTTGCAGCCCCATCCCAGTCTCACCAAAATCACCAATTTTATATTTTCCTCTAGGTGATATACAAATAAAAAACCAGAAAGGGGCACTGTTTCATAGAAACTGCATCACACTATCCTATCATTGTGCAGCGTGCTCAGTCCCCAACTTACATCACAGACAGCTTTATTTCCCCTCTACAGAATTTCTCCATTGTAAGGTTTCACCAACTATGATCCCTTTATTTGGATAATATATTTATTCAGAAATTGTCATCTACTGAATTTTACCTACTGATTTTATGTCTTTACTGTTTAGCAAGTTTTCTTATTGTGGAACAGTTATAGCAAAATATTAAGAATTGGTAAAGCTGGGCAATGGGTTACACTGTGTTCAGTATTTTTTTCCTACACTTTCCTATACTACATTTCATAAAAGAAACGTGATCTGTAGAAGTCTCTGAAAGTAATTTTTCAAAGTTTTCTCTCCAGCAAAGGTTCATAAAATTCCACAGCTTTCAAATTTTACATTCTACATCTCTGCGAAAGACGAAAGAGTTGTCTTTAACTCTTTCAGTTACCTAACACTACATTACAGCTACCAGGGTACACAAGTATTCCTGTACTTTCTTAAATATGAACTGACTAAAAATAAGCAAATAGATAATTTCAGACAGCAAATGATTAACACGTTAAGACTTGTTAGCAAATATGAAGAAAACCAAGGTGGAACATACCCGAAAGAATAACCAGAGGTCTAAAATATTAAAAAAAGGACGTGAGGAGGCAAAGAAGGAAATGTTTATGTTCATCTAGCTCTAGTTCAATTATGACCAAAATGAACAAATCCTCTATTACTACCTAATCCCATTCCAATCTAGAATCTCTAAAATTTAAGACATTCAGATGTGAAAATAAAGAAAAATGGATACTGGATGCTAGAGTTGGACAAGATTGGGACCTCCTAATGGTCACAAATGTGACTGCCAAGAGCTAGCATTCTTAAGCCACCAAAACGTGTAGGTATGCCAGTCTTCATGTTGTGTGTATCAATAGTGTACGCCTTTTTATTACCAAGCTGTATTCCACAGTACCAGGGTGTTTATCCACTCTCTATTTGAGTGGCATTCAAGCTGTTTGCAGCGTGCAGAGATACAAACAAATGCTGTAAACATTAGTGTACAGGTTTTTCTGTGAACACAGATTTTAATACCCCCAGAGTAAATACCTGTGAGTAGGATTGCTGGGTCTTATAACAAATACATGTTTCATTTTATCAGAAACTTTTGGAGCCCTTTTTGTGGGTTTACTTGAGAAAGTTTAAGAACAGAGGAGAAATGAATTATTCTGTATAACAGAAGAATTTTGACCAATACAATACGGGAGAGAAATTAAGGGAACAAGTAAAATGAAGAAAAGCTGGAATACACGCAATTATAAAATCCCAGTTTTATGGCATTAAAGGGTAACAGGAGGTATAAACATCTTATATGGATTTCTAAATTATCTGCATAAGTGCCTCACTTCTGTTCTCTACCTAACCCTACCCCCATCTTCAGTAAAATCTATCAAGGGGGAAGGAGGCTTCTATGATAGCACTCCTGGTTATTAATGCTGAAACTTTAAAACAGATAAAAGCAGAATCAACTACACTCCAATAAAAACTTTTAAGAAATGAAAAAAGAAGCAGGAATTCCCTATCTTGATGGTAGATTTAGAATCCTAAAATTAAAATGATGTATGGTTCTTCAAATCCCCAGAGCTGGCATATTCTGGAAGTGGTTAAAAAAACAAACAAAGACCTAAGGAAAAAAAATCAAAGTATTAGTTAAGTATTAGACTGCAAGAGCCTCACTAAAGGATGATTCAAGAGGATAATCTGTCAAGAACAGGGTTTTTCTTAAATTGGTATTTCCATTTTAAGGTATGTCTATCAGTAGGAGTAAAAAAAAAAAAAATCCCAGTAGCAATAAAGCTTATTAGAAAATTTTGAGAGTATTTTCATTGCCATTATGGCGCTAGTGGTAAAGAATCTGCCTGCCAATGGAGGAGACACAAGGGTTCGATCAGGGTTTGATTCCTGGGTCAGGAAGATCCCCTGGACAAGGGCATGGCAACCCACTCCAGTATTCTTGCCTGGAGAATCCCATGGGTAGAGGAGCATAGCGGGCTGCAGTCTGCAGGGTCAAAAAGAGTCTAACCAGACTACAGTGACTTAGCAAAGTTAGAGTGGGAGGGGCACGTGAATTTCCAAGTCCTTTGTTAGACTTCCTTGCCTTGGCTAGTCTAACCAAAACCCGGAGTATTATTTCAGAACTGTACTTTTTCCAAAAGCCATTAATTTTCTTGAGCTTCCCTTGCTTTGTGGGCCTCCTGACACCTTGACTGTCACAGCAGTGGTGGGAGTGTCTAACAGGTAGTTGTGTTTTTATTGCCATTTTCTCCTTTCCCTCCAGACTGTGGGAAACCCTACAGGACAAAGGTAGTGCAACCAATTAATTGCAAAAAAAATAAAAAGACATGAAAGAGGAACGTACAGATTTAAAATTACAATATATGAAGTTTATTTGGAACTTAATTCAAATGAATTGTAAAAAAATGTTTATAAGGCAATCTGCAAAATCAAACACTGATGGATATTTTATTAATCTTAGGTTCAATAACAGATTTTTTTTTTTTTTTGGCTGTGCCATGCAGCATGCAGGATCTCTGTTCCTCAACCAAGGATTGAACCTAGGCCACCACACTGGAATTGCTGAATTCTAACCA